CCCCACGGGGCGGGAGCGGCCTGGGCGGAGCCGGCCAGGGGTCCCCAGCGTCCACCTGGACTCCGGACCCACCTTTTTTTAACGCAAAAAAACAACCCAAGGAGGAAAGAAGGAAGAAAGGACCAGAGGAGGTGTCGCCGGGGCAACAGAATGCGCCGGGGGCCATGGGGAATGCCTGCTACCCTCCTCTACGATGGACATGCGCTGCATTGCACTTCCTGGAGTATCCATGATCCTCCTCTCACCCACCCTGCCTGGAGCTGGACACCTGGGTTCCCCTCCCCTCTGGCCCCTAAGGAAGGAGCCTGACTTGCTGCTGGGAGGGAGGAGACTTGATTTGGGGGGGGGCAGGGGATTGCTCTGAAAATCCCACTTAGGGAAAGGCAACTGCAAGGGGCTGGGGGTCCCAGTCACCCCCTGTTTCTACCCTGCCTAGCTCCCCTTGGCCCCTCACCTGCCCCAGGGCCACCCCCTTGCCCTGCCTCTCTCCCACTGTTGACTTGTTTTCTCGCTCATTGGTTCATCCCTCTCATCCCCGGCTCTTTCTCCCCATGACACATACTCAGGATTCTGTGAGCCATACCTCCAAGGGCAGCCCTGGGCCGGCTGCCACCCGTGCACCTCTGTCTGTACATCCAGCCACCCACCCATCCCTACACCCCCATCCGTCTCTCTCTCTCTCTCTCTCTCTCGATCTGTCTATTCACCTGTTTGTTTGTCTGTCTGTCTATGTATCTATCTACCCCTCTGTCTGTCTTGCTATCTATGTCTATCCATTTGCCCACAGTCCCTCTGTCTTTCTCTGTACAGCTCCTCTATGTCTGTCTGTCCATCCCCATACCCCTGGCTTTCTGTCTGTCCAGCCAGCCATCCTGATGCATCTCCTCTATCACCCTGTATCCAACCCCCCGCCCCCTGCCACATACACACCTGTCTGTCCATACCCATAGGGTTCCTGTTTGTCTGTCCATTCCCCTAAACCCCCTCTGTCTGTCCATCCATCCTCCTAGGGCCCCTGTTGGTCTGTCTGTCTGTCTGTCTGTCTGTACAACCCCTGTCTGTCTGTCCATGCCCATGGCCCACCGTCTGTCCATCCCCCCTACACCCCACTGTCTGTCCATCCATCCTGACTCATATGCCCCCTCTGTTGGTCTGTCTCATCTATCTATGCTTCCCCATACACCCCCCACCCTCTGCACTGTCTTGTACATCCATCTCTCCAGTGATGTGCCATGTCTTGGGCACAGAGACTGCTCCCAGGTGGGGGAGACACCCCACCCCACCGCACCCCTCCACCACCTCCCCTGCCCCATGCCCACCTGCATGGACCTCTTTCTTCGTTACAAGCAATAACCAGGGGGCACTGGGAATTTTGCAGAGACAGCTGCACCCTGGGGAACGACCGGACCTAGGAGAGCCGGGACTTGTGGGGGGCCAAGGGGCCCAGCCAGCCCCCCCACACCACCCCCTGGCCTTTGTCTTCCTCTGCTCTCCTTGTTTCATTCTGTTTCTTCCACAAACAGAGCGAACTGCATGGGGGAGGGGGGACCTGGGGTGGTCCTGGCCCCCTCTTTTTACCCCCTCCTCTGCAGCCCTGGCAGAGATGGATGGGGGCCTCACTGTGATCCCAGACAAGGCTGGGGGGGCCGGTGGCTTTGGACCTCATGGGGGGATCCCCCCCCACAAAAGACGCTGCCACATCCCCCCAAAGTGGGGACCCCCACGTCCTCCTCCGTGGGACGCCAGTCCCTGCCCTGCACTGGCCTGCTCATCCTCTCCCCCAGGGGAGGGGGCCATGAGGACAGCGGTGCCTGGGGGGGTCCCGTTTGCACCCCCTGCCACCCTGCAGCCCCCCCCTCCCAATCCAAGCTCAACTCCTAGTTACAAGGTTGCATTTTCGAAGCCAGCATGTGTCTGCATGTGATACTGTACCAACAATATTTAATGTTATATGCAAAAAAAAGACCTACCTGACCCACCGCGCCAATGGGACAGGGGCCTCTGGGACTCTCCCCCCACCCCATCCTACCCCACTCTACCCCACCCCTTAGCCCTGGGTGCTGGTGCTTGTGGGGGATAGCACAGCTTGTGGGGGGCTGAGATGGGGGAAGCAGGCTATGGTGGTGGGGGGCCTGCAGGAAGACATCCTTGTTTTTTTTATTCCTACTGCTCCCCTTCTCCCACTTTTCCTGTGGGGAAAGTCAGAGAAGAGGAGGAGGAGCATGATCAAGGGGGTGGAGATGCCTCGGTGGATGGATGGATGGACGGAGGTGTGTGGAGAGGGATGAATGGATGGATGACGGTGTTTGGGGATGGATGGATGGTGTGTAGGGATGGATGGAAGGAGGTATGTCTGTGGGGATGGATGGATGGAGGTGTGTAGGGAGGGATGGATGGAAGAAGGTGTGTAGATGCATGGGTAGTTGGATTGCTGAATGCAGGGTGTGTCCAGGGATGGATGGATGGATGATGAGGGAGGGTGGGCTGC